AGCTCTGGTAACTTCTAGTCCCCTTACCTTCACTACCCTCCCACCAGAGTCAAAAGCAGTATGCTCTGAGGGTGACGCCATTATTTTATTTGGGGTTCCTACCACTTGGGCTAGTACATGCTGGAACAGACCAAGGGCCCACCCCCTCAGTCTCTTGGCGAGCTCCTCCTCCATCCTCCGGTGCTGATTGGTGTCCCTTGGACACAGTGATCTGGACCCTCCTCCCCCTCTCATACCCTCCCCAGGCAACCTCCTGCACACTCACAGCCCCACTTATGATCTACATGCCCAAACTCCCACAGTTACCTGTCTAGCCTAGACTCCCTTCCCCGCTGCAGAGCAATGCATCTGGAGATGTACTCAAACTCCAATTCAACAGGTCCCAGGTGGAAAATACAATTCCCAATCTTTCCTCTAAACTCTTCTTCCTCCAGCTTTCCCTGACTCAGTACATAGCACCATCATTCACCATCTTGCTTCTCCCAGAATCATCGTTTCATCTTTACTTTGTTATTGAATGACTTGCATCCCCAAAGTTGTATTTTGAAGCCCTGACCCCCAGTACCTCAGAATGTAACTATATTTGGAGACAGGCCCTTTAAGGAGGTAATTAAATAAAAATGAGGTCAGGAGGGCGGGTCCTGATGCAATCAAACAGGTGCCCTTACAAGAAGAGGAGATGAGGACGCACAGAGAAAGACCAGAGATGAGCACGTACAGAAAATGTCCATGCGGGGGCACAGGGGAAAGGTCATTTTCTGCAAGCCCAGGACAGAGGTCTCAGGAGAAGCCAAACTTGCCAGCACCTTGATCCTGGGCTTCTAGACTCCCACTGTCAGAAAACAAATGTCTGTGGTTTAAGCCACCCAGTCTGTGAAATTTTGTTATGGCAGCCCTCGCAGACTAGTGTGCCTTCTCCTTCTTACCCATCACCAAGACCTACCACCCTACTTCCATCTATCTCTCCAGTCTTCCCTCTCCATAACCTCTTCCCTGCCCTCACCCAGCAGCCCATCAAGTCTTGTAAAGATGCCTGCAGAAGCCTCCCAGTGGTCTTCCTGCTTCCACTGTTCCCCAAAGACAGTCCAGGGTGGTCATTTAAAAATGAAAGTGGAGGGGAGCCTGGGTGGCTCAGTTGGTTAAGCATCTGACTCTTGATTTTGGCTCAGGTCATGATCTCAGGGTCATGGATCAAGCCCCACATCAGGCTCCAAGCTAGGCATGGAGCCTACTAAATCCATCCATCCATCCATCCATCCATCCATCCATCCATCCATCCATCCATATGAAAATGGAATCCTTTCCCTTGTTTAAAACCCTTTGATAGTTTCCCCATTTCTCAAAGAATGAAATCAAAACTCTTTAACTTGTCTAAAGCCCAGTTCTCGCCTGCCACTCTGGCCTCCCCTAGACCCACTCGAACACCATGTTCCAGACAAGGTCATCTCTGGCAGTTCTTCCAATGGCCAAATAACCCTGGTCTTCCCACCCATTTTTTTACCTCGTTGGGCATTTTTCTTAGTCCCTCACTGACATGTTGCTAATGCTTATGCATCCCAGTCTCAACTGAAGTGTCATTTCCTGAGAAAGGCTGTCCCTGACCTCCCTGTATGGAAGATTTTAAAAAGCTTCCAGAAAGAGGGTAAGTGGAGTGCTTGCCACTCACCTCAAGTCTAGTGAGAGGAACTTTTTAAGATCCCTCCAAGGGCTTAAAAAGGCCCCAGGCTCATACCTAAGCAGGGGATAGATAGCAGCTCTATGCCAGGGAAGTAACTGTGTTCCCTCTAATGGGGCAGATGTGACAGTGGGAAAAATCAGTCTGGGTTGTTTTTTAAAGGATCCTGCCCAAAAGAGCAGCATGTGGGGAAGAGAGAAACCTGGTCATTTGAGGCAAGAGGCAGAATCTGTAAATGATCAGGAGGGTCACTGTTCATATCAAAAAAATGGCAACTAGATAGGCCTGGGGGGAGGGGTAGGTCTTCCAGAGAACCCTGGACCAGCCCACAAAGAGGTCAGCTTTAAAACGTGCCCTGCCTATAGAGAACACGATGCCATCTTTTGGTAAAAATATTCCATTCATTCTTACTTGGCTTCACTTCCCCCAGCAAAGTCGGAAATGGCAGCCACAGAGTGAGAAATGGAGTGGGAAGGGATTGGGGGAGTTGTCTGGGATCCTTATCCACACCAAAAATTCTTCTTTGCCTCCAAGCTCAACAAGAAGAGAGGAATCAAGTCTTTTCTTTGAATTAGCGGTGATTAGTATACAGGGTCTGACACTGCAAATTATTGAATTGAAAATAGTGTATGGAGTGGACATTTTTTTTTTTTAAGATTTTATTTATTTATTTGAGAGAGAGAGAATGAGAGAGAGAGCACATGAGAGGGGGGAGGGTCAGAGGGAGAAGCAGACTCCCTGCTGAGCAGGGAGCCCGATGTGGGACTCGATCCCGGGACTCCAGGATCATGACCTGAGCTGAAGGCAGTCGCTTAACCAACTGAGCCACCCAGGCGCCCCTGGAGTGGACATTTTCAGTTACTGAATTGATGCCGGAGCTAACATAGGACTGAGAGACCAGGAAAGTCATGGAACCTACCCAAGTTTTTTAAGAGGCCAGAGAAGGACTAGCCCCACTCAGCAGGTTTGGAGGAACAAAAATAAAGTGGCTTCTATGATTACACCCCATGAATGCCATGTGTTCCGAGTACTAATCATAGTGGTTTCAGATCGTAAGTTACATAATCTGGGCTAGGTAGAGAAGGGAGAAAAGTTGGCAAGGGTCTGATGGGAGAACATAATTGTTGTGGGTATAAAGCCTCCAGGAGGTGAGGGTCAGAGAGTGTATTATTGGTATAAGATTTCAGACACGAAATAGTTCTGGGTGAGAACACAGTCCAGTGTGTGAGGCTGGGTCAAGGTAACTGACATGCTTTAGAGCTCCAGAGCTAAGGAAAGAGATTAAAGAATCTGAAGGCTAAATTGTTATACAGGTGCAGAAATCTTCTGGGATCCTGTCATGGCTTGGGCCATGGAAGATGACAATCAGATCCCATTCCCTACCACTCTAAGGAAATTGCTCCTATCATGTTCACCAGGAAACTCCAAAGTGTCACTTCCAACATAGGCAATTCTCACTTCTCATCTTATGTGTCAGTAGCGTTTGACATAATTGAACACTTCCTCATTCCTGAAATACTTTCTTCACTTCGCTTCAAGGATTCCACCCTCTGATTTTATTCCTCCTTCCTGGTCACCCCTTTTCATATTCTTCCGTTGGATCCATCTCTTGTCCTTAACCATTGAATGCTAGAGGATCTAGAGTTCAATCATAAGAACTTTTCTCTTTGCTGTCTCACTTCCTAAGAGATCTTACCCTGCCCTATGGCTTTAAATACCTCTCTATAGCCCCCAATATATATGTCTTACACCAATGTCTCCCCCAAACTCGACTGCTTACTTGATATCCCTGCTTAGATATCTATTTAATAGAGCTTCCAAATTCAGCATGTCCAGAAACAAATACCATCCCATAACATGATCTCCAACTAAACTTCTTCCATTCTAAAATTCCCTCTCAGTAGATGGCACCATGATTGCCCAGTTATTTAGGCAAAATATTTTGGAGTCAACTTCTATGCCTCTTTACTTACATCATTCTTGCAAATCTTGTCAACTCAGTCTTCAATATATAGCAGCAAGCTCACCCTGTCTCCCCTTCTCCATCACCTACCTTGGCACACACCATCATCACTCTCTCTCTGTCTCGACACTTATCTCTCTGTAATCTCTTCCCCACGCAGCAGAATGACCCATTTAAACATACATCAGATCATTACCTCTCTGTTCATTGAAGTCCCCCCATGGCTCCTACCCTTCCCAGATTAAATTCCAAATCCTTGACATGAATTGCAAGGTGATGTGTCTGGCCATGTCCCAGAGCTTTTCTAAGACTTTGCAAGGATATCTTAAACAGAGCTGTCTCACTGAGCTGGGGTCAAATTTTTAAAAAGAATTATCATGCTGTCTCAAAGAAAGGTCTCTGAAGGCATGTTTTTGGAAGCTTCAACACTGAAGCTGTTAATAAAATGAAAAATCTACCAGGTACGTTCTTTCCAGATTTTAATGCTTGATGTTTTCCTTTGCCCTCAATGCTAAAGTTAAACATCCTCTCTTCTGTGCTGGCTTCCTAATTCAGCTTCATTCTCAATACCCTACAGAAAAAAAAAGAAAGAAAGAAAGAAAAGGAAAGCTCTCTGTTGTGTTTCCTTAGCTGTGTTTATACACAGTGACTGAATGGCAATCTGTGAAACTCATGTCTGTCTTCTATTACTACTGTAGAAGGGACAAGTCTATTAACTCTCTTAAAGATATGCATATATACTGTATTTAATCACTTCTAAAACCCACCCTTTTTCGTATTTTAAAGACTGAAATTGGGATAAGTCTTGAAATGATACAATTAGAAAGCGCAATTTCTTTTCTTTCTTGGTGGTACACAAAGTAACGATTCCTTGAAATTGACACTATCTTACAGTTGATTAAATACACGGTGTAAATCTTGTGGGTTTACGTTCCTCAATCTTCACACGCGGTAGTACATCATTCCGTGGGACAGTTAATTATTTCTGCTACAATAAATTTAAATATAAATTGAGTTACGAACGGGCATAACTTCCTCACTTCCAAATATACGCACTTTGTCATACGTATGAAAGTGCGCCAGAAACTGCAAAGCGTTACACACAAGCCGGGTATTTCTTCACATGCCTGGTTACCTAGATCAATAACCCTTTACGCTCCGGGCTAACCTCTCCGAGGCCGCAAGGATCCGGGTTCGACGGCTCGCGCCCCGCCCACCAGCCCAAGCCCGGCCCCCCGCACTCTCCAGGTACGAGACGCGACCTCCGATTGGCCACGGGACGCAAGGAGCGCGCCCCCGAGGCATCTTCCGAGCATGCGCGGGAGGGGAGACGCAGGCGCGGCACGCCCCGCGCATGCTCAGTACGGAGCGGTCGCACCTCAGGCCCCGCGCGGGGCCGCGTCGCTGCTGCCGCCGCCGCCGCCGGGCCAGCCACCGCGCGGCATGAAGGGCTGGGGTGTTGCTGCGCCCTCCCGCTCGCTCCAACGCCATGGACTGCCTGCGGAGCCTGAGCCGGTTCCTGCCCCGGCGCACGCGGTGTCCTCTGGCCCGGGGCCTGACCCTTGGGGCGCGCCCCGTTGCCGCCTGCGGCCGCGCGGCCCAACTCCTCGGGCAGAGCCGGGCCGCGCCGCCGTGCGAGCCCCGCCGGCCCCGCGTGGCAGGTACTGCGCTCCCCGCCTCGCAGCCCAGGACGCGGGTCTGGGGTGTCCCCAGGGCCCCGACCCGGCGTGGCCGTGCCTGCCCCGCGCTCGGCGCAAGCCTCGGCCCCGGGTCCGCCCTTGGGGCGCGCGTGCGGGAGTCCCGGCGGCCCCCAGCGCGGACCAGCCTGTGCGCCGTGACGCTCCGGGCTCCCCGCTGGAGCGCTCTGGTGGGAAGGGTTTCTTGGTTCGTTTTTTAGCGAGAGTTTCGTCCCTATCTAAGTATTTTTCTTCCCAGTCTTCTTCCCTTTGGACATGGACACATTTTTCCGGGTGTTCAAGTGAGGAATGGGGACGCACCTGTAGATGAGGCTGAAAACGTCGAGATTTCATAGTAAGAGTGGCTCCCGAGAAAGATTGGTTTTTCAAGTAGGGTGTAGCAAGCCGCAGGGGGTCGGTAGTGGGGAGGAGGAGGAATCGGAGTTATTTTTTCACCAAATGATAAAGCAAATGTTAACATTTTCACAAATGTGAGGATGTAGGTGCTACTATTGCTCAGAAACAAGCGACGTGAAAATGCCTGGCTCCCGAAAGGATTGCGCTGTTCTCGAGTTTTCTCAGTTCTATACTCAGAATCCCACAGTAACTCACCCCCCCCTCACTAGAGTCTGAATTGGGGTACGCCCCATATTCCCTCCTTTAATGCTTGGGAACCCAGTTTCAGCCCATCTGCTGTTGTAGGACAAAACACTGAGATTCGGAATCTCAATGGAAACGTTTTATCTAACTTGTGGCTGATGAGCAAAATGCTGATTTACAGCTCTGACTTTTACCTTTATTCCTCTGACCCTTCTATAAAAGGGAAACAGCAAACCTCAGATGCTAACAAATTACATGAGACGCTATATGTAAGGGGAAGGAGTAAGATCAGAAATGAGTATTTCTGCATGTTCTGTGGAGTCAACATGATGACTTTGGAAGCAGAAAATAATTGGTAATACCTTTACACTTTCTGCCCATTCCTTTTATGTTTGGTATTTTGAATGGTGTCCTTTGTCAGTCCTTAAATTTACGTGGTTACACTTCAGAACTCATTTCGACTCAATCTAATCACGTTTTAAATAGACTTATTTTCAAATAAAGATTTTTCTTCATTCCAGTTCAAGGGCTTATTTCAGGAGTATTCACTAGTAAAGTATGTGGAAAAGTCAATATGGAAGTAAAATCTAGGTTTCATAATTTATACATCAAATAATCCTGATATTGGAATGCTGAAACTGGTGGTATTTAGGATCTATGTTTTCTGAAAGATATTTACCAGTATAATTTTCATGAAGAGCCTTTTTAAATTATGCAAAAAAAAGGTGAACATTTTAATCTCAGAACACTGTTACATATTTGTTCATTTGACTTTGAGGTACCAGTAATAATTAGAATAAAGGCGGTTGGAATCCATAAATTATTCTAGTACCTCACCTAAGCCGTTACTTTTTTTTTTTTTTTTTTAAAGATTTTATTTATTTGAGAGAGAATGAGAGAGCACATGAGAGGGGGGAGGGTCAGAGGGAGAAGCAGGCTCCCCGCCGAGCAGGGAGCCTGATGCGGGACTCGATCCCGGGACTCCAGGATCACGACCTGAGCCGAAGGCAGTTGCTTAACCAACTGAGCCACCCAGGCGCCCCTAAGCCGTTACTTTTAAAAAACATTCCCTGCCAAATCTAACATAATCCCCTACAGATGTTAACATTAGCAAGTAAGAGTGTTTCTTTCTCTTTTCTAGGAAAAAGTTTCCAAAAAATAGTAAAATAGTCAGAAGACCACATAATAGAGTTATATTGTAGCCATATGTTAATACCTATTGTGTGATTACAGAGAATTCTCTGATTTATTCTTCAGGTGAAATGCGCCGGTTCAGAACTTCGGATGCCTCTCAAGCTACTTTATCCAGTGTAGCGCCACTGTTTACTGTGGTGAGTGTGTACGTTTGATAACTTACACAGAGTACTTCCCGTACTTACTAAGTTAACTGAGTTAGACTGGTCGGCCAAGGTAGTACTTATTTTTTGTTTTATAGTGAATCATTATACTTCTAAGTCCTCTTGTCTTTGTGTTTTTTAGCTAGTGACCTGAGTGCCAGCTAGATTTACTTAACAGCACCCTTGGAACTTTGCTATTGACTGTGGAAGTCTTCTTTTAATCCTAGAACTGGTTGTTCGAATCACAGTTCAGCACTTCCTAGTCAAGATTTCCCTGTGAATCCATGTGGACGTCCTTGAAGGCTGTTAGCTGTAGGTGCTTGATCCTGTGCTATGCAATGTGATACATGCAGAAGCATTTTGAAGGCAGCGAAGTGTAATATTTAAGAGTGCATGCTTTGAAGGTTCATGATCTCTGCAACTTTCTCTGAAAAGATTCAGGAGAAAATAAAATAATAAGAAATAACGTGTATCCCACCCACATATCTCAAAAGAGAAAAATTAGGCCATCGGGGCAAAATGTTAGCAAAAGATGAGTAGGTGAAAGTCACATGGGAATTGGTTGTAAGATAGTCTTGCAACTTTTTTGTAGAGCTTTAATTTTTTTTTTTAGAAAAAGTTGAATTTAAAAAAGTAATGTGGTTGTTCTGAACTAGCATTCCTAAATTCAGATCTCAGCTCTGCCTCTTAGTATAATATTTGGTGGACTCTGACAGGGTATGATAACATCTTTATGCCTTTGTTTTCTCATCTATAAACTGGGGATTATAGTACCTACCTTATAGAACTGTTGTGAGGTTTGAATTACGACCGTATATAAAACCCTCACACATGTAAGCATTCAATATATATTAGCCATTATCATCATCATTATTTAGGCTTATTAACATAAGAACTTTTCTTTATAAACTATGCAAACAAAATAACCCCCAGAATTACGTATGAAAGTTCATACTGTTATTCAATGTTCTAGAACATTTGGCCAGTTTGGTTAAGAATAAATTCAGATATTAAATATTGAAAGAAGGTTCTTTGCAGGTGAAATCATTGTGTCCCAAGAACACTTAAGAAAATTAGTTGATACTATTTGAAATGAGAGCTTGCTAATCCGCTCACTCTAGATGATGTTACTTTATAAGATAAACATTTAAAAAAATGAGTTTGTATGATTTTTTATCAGAAAATATCTCATTAAAGGAAAACGGTAAAGATAAATATTAAGATGCAAAAATACTATATTAAGTTGAAAATGGAGGAGAGACTGCAGAAAAATGTAACACGAATATATTGAGTAGGAAAAGTCTGGGAGAACATTCAATAAAATATTGGCATGGCTTTCTCTAAAATTTGTCTTATTCCATGTGATTTATTTTATTTTACTTTATTTCAAATTTTCTGTAGCAGATATATTATTTGTGAAATAAATTTGAAGAAAGCTAGTCTATATTACACAAAATAGTTTCTTTTGATGTAAATTTGCCCTTGAACACTGGTGGCTTATGGTACTCACCTTGCTCTTATCTTTGCTCGTGAAGAGCAAGCTAAAATATACACTGTGAGATTTTATTCTGTTGCTGTTAACAGCATGCATGCGTTTCCGTGGTAAGAACCCAGCACTTGTACCTTCAGCTGGACCTTACAGTCTTTCTGAACATGCGTATTTAGTAGTAATTAGTACATTTCAGCACATATTCACACTTGATAGGTATTCAATACTTGTGGACAAGTATTTCAGAAAAATGTTTCCTCTGCTTTATAGGAAATAAGTATATTTTCTGCATCATGTCCTCTCTTCAAATTATCAGAAGAGGCCTTTTCTGTAAATCTTTGTTGATTCTACAACACTCACCAGAGAGACTCCATAGCCTCCAGTAGATGCTTAGATTCGCAAGATAAGCCACATGTGGTCTCACTCAGTTCAGAAGGATAAAGGATAGGAAACGCACAAGGGCAGCATCAGGTCTTTCCTCTTCCACAAAAGCCCTTGCAGCCATCCAGCGGCTTCTCTGGACCCCGTGTGACAGCAGGTGCAAGGAGTTGATGTTCTTAAAGGTGGGTGCGAGTTCCACCGTAGCTTAGAAGCCCCATACCTTTTAGTGCTGGTATTTCTTGTAACCATCTCCAAAGCCTGCAGCATTCCTGCAGGGAACACGGCCAGTTATAAGAGCCACGCCACTGAAGGAGAAGCAGGGGGATGGCTTCCCACCAGGTGTCCGTAATTCTTTCATAGTCTCCCTGGCCCTAAGCAATCTACCAGGCATTGAGCATTTTTACCATAAGCAATGTTGCTTAGTAACACAGCTGATACTCTTATCAGATTTCCAGGGGAGCCAAGACAGAAAGTTAATCAAAGGTCACATTTGTCCTAGCAGAGGAGAAAGGGATTCTTTTAACCCTTAACTCATCGCTGAATTTAACCTAAAGAAGCAGTTACGGCTTATCTGCACTGCCGTATTTGGGAGCTATCATAATACCATATGGTATAATACTGTAAAGAGCTTAGTCGTTTGGGAGAAAATAATATTTTGTTTTTATTATCTCTCTTCAGACAAAATTTGACAAAGAGGGAAATGTTACTTCTTTTGGTGAGTATCTTTCATTTTCTTACAAATCACTTTTTAAATCTGAGTGAATCTGATGAAAATCAAGAAACTGCAGTGTTTCGAGTAGGATAGTCTTTGTGTGTATGGGTGTATTGAAAGAGATCTATCTTCAGCATTTGTCCATCAGTCCTGCTTGGATCTGGCGACACCTGGATTGTGCATGTTGTCCCAGAACTGGTTTCTGTTTCTTTGTCAGAAGCCACTCTCTCTAACAGGATGTTAAAGGAGTTTTTTGAGAGCAGAGGCTGCTATGCAGCTGGAGCACATTTTGTTTCTTGAGTCTCCCTTTCCATGCCCTTCTCCACATGTACATCTCCTATTCCACATTTAAGGCAGACTTAAGTAGTACTACCGACATTGCAGTGGCAATGGGGGGCGAGACAGGAGGGGCGGGGCACCAGACGGCGCTCTGCTGATGATCGCTCTTATGGACAATTACTTTATAAAAGGAAACTAAGCATCACTTTACTATCTGACCTCAGTTGCCGGCTTCATTCAGATCTCCCATGTGCTTCCAGCCCCATGATCCTGTTCCTGCTCTTGCCGAGATCCTGGTGGGAAATTTGGGGTATTTTTTGCCCATTATCTTCTTCCAGTGACTGTTCTAATTAGCGCTCTGTCACAGGTGTGATTGGACACCACAACTATAGATGCCACTTGAACCATTTCTTGAGTTTCTTCATCCGTTATGCTTTCTCTTAAGTAATAAGGTTAGTTTTCAGGTGGGAGAATCTAGTGAGAAAACTATTTTCTCATTTTGTATTAGTCCAAGAACCAAGAAAATTGAATTCTCTGTTCACAGATTTAAAATACTGAAGATAGACAACATCAGAAATGTAGTTCTGTATAATCTGTATTTAAAAATAAAAATCCGTTTCTAGAGCTTAGAATTGATACTGTCTTAATTGTGTGTGGCTGTGGATTTTTATACTGGTCCCAAGGGACATCTAAATACAAAGAAATTTTATGAAGTATGGGTAAGATGAAAAAAGAATTATTAGAGTTTGACCAAATTTAGCGTATGTTTTTGAGGTAAAAATGGCTATTAAAAAAACTTATTTTGGCTTGTTTCTGGTAGTAGAAAATGATGTCGATGTTGGTGGAAGGGGTGCCCTGATCCTAAAGGCTTCCATTGATTGGTTTGGCCCACTCTCTTTGTTAAAAATATTTCTTTTATAGAAAAGAAGAAAACTGACTTATATCAAGAATTAGGTCTTCAAGCCAGAGATTTGAGGTTTCAGCATGTGATGAGCATCACAACCAGAAACAATAGGATTATCATGAGAATGGAGGTAAAAGGTTTTATGTCATCTACATTTCTCACTGGAATCTTACAAAAGTTACTTCCTAGCTGTCTTGATCAATATCTAGGTTAAAAGCAATTTTGTAATGAAATGGGTGTGTGAAACATAGGATACTTTATAGTATAACGTGTCATTTTGAGTGGAACTCCTCTTTCATGGATGCTGTACATGAAAGGCATAACTCTGCTCTATTTTATGTAGGAAAAGTTATGACTGCAGTCCCTGTTCTCACTGCTTGAATTTGGTCTCTGGTTTCTGAAATGATAAGAAAAAGAATCTTGACTTATAATAGACATGTTCAGTTGCATACATTTACATGTCATTAGAGTATAACTTCAGCTACCAAGAATATATTCTGGTTCTCCAAATAGACCAAGAATATCCCCTGAAGTTTATAATTTTAACTTAAATTTTTATTTTAACCAAAAGCTTCCTAAAATAAATTGTATCTTCCCCTGCCTACTGAGAGTGCACTAAATATAATTTGCCTTGTGATTCAGAGTAAATCTGAACATACGTAATTTTGGTGAGCTGAAGTCTAGGGTTCAGAAATAGATGAGACATGGTTCTCGATGATATGGGCCCTGCAGTAGACATTAGACCTCCTTTCCTCCCTTTTTTTTTTTTTTTTTTTTTAAAGATTGAAGATTTTATTTGAGACAGTGCAAGCAAGAGTGGGAGGAGAGGCAGAGGGAGAAACAGACACCCTGCTCAGCGGAGAGCCTCACATGGGGCTTGGACCCTGAGATCATGACCTGAGCCAAAGGCAGAGGCTTAACCAACTGAGCCATCCAGGTGCCCCTGAAGTCAGTTGCATTTCAATACACTAATAATGAAGCATCAGAAAGAGAAATTAAGAAAACAGTCCCATTTACAATTGTACCAAAAATAATAAAATATCTAGGAAGAAACTTAACCAAGGATGTGAAAGACGTGTACTCTGAAAACAGTAAAACACTGATGAACAATTCAAGATGACGCAAAGAAATGGAAAGATATTCTGTGCTTATGGATTGGGAGGACAGATATTGTTAAAATGTCTATACCACCCAAAGCAGTCTACAGATTTAATGCAATCCATATCAAAATACCAACAGCATTTTTATTAATTTTTTTTAAGTTTTTATTTTTAAATTTTATTTATCCATTAGAGAGAGAGAGAGAGCACGAGCAAGGTGAGGGGCAGAGAGAGAAACAGACTCCCCACTGAGCAGGGAGCCTGATGCAGGGCTCAATCCCGGGACTCCAGGATCATGACCTGAGCTGAAGGCAGACAGCACTTAACTGGCAGAACCACCCAGGTGCCCCTAAGTTTTTATTTTAATCACCAGTGCTCCTCATAGCAAGTGTACTCCTTAATCCCCATGACCTTTTTCCCCCATCCCCTACCTACCTCCCCTCCAGTAACCATTAGTTTATTCTCTATAGTTAAGAGTCTGCTTCTTGGTTTGTCTTTTTTTTTTTTCTTCCTTTACTCCTTTGTTTACTTTCTTAAATTTCACTTATGAGTGAAATCATGTGGTATTTGTCCCTCTGACTCATTTTGCTTAGAATTATACTCTCTAGCTCTATCCATATCTTTGCAAATGGCAAGATTTCATTCTTTTTTATGCCTGAATAGTATTCCATGATACACATATACCATATCTTCTTTATCCATTCATCAACCAATGGATACTTGGGCCACTTCCATATCTTGGCTATGTAAATAATGCTGCTGTAAACATAGGGGTACATGTATCCCTTTGAATCTGTATTTTGTATTCTTTGGGTAAATACCCAGTACTGCAATTGCTGGATTGTAGGGTAGTTCTATTTTTAGCCTTTTGAGGAACCTCCATACCGTTTTCCACAGTGGCTGCACCAGTTTGCATTCCTACCAACAGTGCAGGAGGGTTCCTTTTTCTCCACATCCTCACCAACACTTGTTGTTTCTTGTGTTGTGGATTTTAGCCATTCTGTTAGGTGTCAGGTGTATCTCATTATAGTTTTGATTCGCATTTCCCTGATAATAAGTGATAATGAGCGTCTTTTCATGTGTCTGTTGTTGGCCATCTGGATGTTTTCTTTGGAGAAATGTCTGTTCATGTCTTCTGCCCATTGTTAATTGGATTATTTGTTTTTTGGATCAGTTCTTTATGTTTTGGACACTATCCCTTTATTGGATATGTCATTTGCAAATATCTTCTTCCATTCCGTAGGTTGCCTTTTAGTTTTGTTGACTGTTTCTTTGCTGTGCAGAAGCTTTTTATTTTGATGTAGTCCCAATAGTTCATTTTTGCTTTTGTTTCCTCACCTCAGGAGATATGTCTAGAAAAATGTTACTACAGCCAGTGTCAAAAAAAGTTACTGCCTGTGTTCTCTTCTAGGATTTTTATGGTTTCAGGTCTCACATTTAGGTCTTTAATCCATTTTTAATTTACTTCTGTGTATGGTGTAAGAAAGTGGTCCAGTTTCATTCTTTTGGATGAGGCTGCCCAGTTGTCCCAAACCATTTGTTGAAGAGGCTGTCTTTTTTCCATTGGACATTCTTTCATGCTTTGTCAAGATTAGTTGACCAGATAGTTGTGGGTCCATTTGTGGGTTTTCTATTCCTTTCCATCGATCATTGTGTCTGTTTTTGTGCCAGTACCATACCGTCTTGATGACTGCAGCTTTGTAATAGAGCTTGAAGTCCGGAATTGCGATGCCTCCAGCTTTGTTTTTCTTTTTCAACATTGCTTTGGCTATTCGGGGTCTTTGTGATTCCATACAAATTTTAAGATTGTTCTAGTCCTGTGAAAAATGCAGTTGGTATTTTGATAGGGATTGCATTATATTTGTAGATTGTTTTGGATAGTATAGACATTTTAACAGTATTTGTTCTTCCAACTCATGAGCATGGAATGTCTTTCCATTTCTTTGTGTCTTCTTCAATTTTTCATAAGTGTTCGTAGTTTTCTGAGTACAGATCTTTTACTTCTTTGGTTAGTTTATTCCTAGGTATCTTACGGTTTTTGGTGCAGTTGTGAATGGGGTTGTTTTCTTAATTTCTCTTGCTGCTGCTTTATTACTGGCGTATAGAAATACAAGAGATTTCTGTACCTTGGTTTTGTATTCTGCGACTATTGAATTTGTGTATCAGCTCTAGCGGGTTTTTGGTGGTTTTTAAGGTTTTTCTATATATAGTATCATGTCATCTGCAAATAGTGAAAATTTTACTTCTTCCTTACCAATTTGGATGCTTGTTTTCCTTTTTGTTGTCTCATTGCTGTGGCTAGTACTTCCAGTACTGTGTTGAGTAAAAGTGGTGGGACTGGACATCCTTATCTTGTTCCTGATCTTAGGGAAAATGCTTAGTTTTTTGAGTATGATGTTTGCTGTGGGTTTTTCATATTTGGCCTTTTTATGTTGAGGTATGTTCCCTCTAATCTGACTTTGTGGAAGGTTTTTATCATGAATGGATGTTGTACGTTGTCAAATGCTTTTTTGCATCTATTGAAATGATCATGTGGTTTTTATCCTTTCTCTTGTGAATGTGATGTATCACATTGATTTGTGAATATTGAACCACCTTTACATCCCAGGAATAAATCCCACTTGATCATGGTGAATGATTATTTTAATGTATTTTTAATGTATTGTTGGATTTGATTTGCTAGTATTTTGTTGAGGATTTTTGCATCTGTGTTCATCAGAGATACTGGCTTGTGGTGATTCTTTTTTTGTGTGTGTATGTGGTAACTTTATCTGGTTTTGGTGTCAGGGTGACAGTGGCCTCATAGAATGAATTTGGAAGTTTTCCTTTCTCCTTTTTTTTTTTTTTTTTTTGAATAGTTTGAGAGGAATGGATAATAATTTTTCTTTAAATGTTTGGTAGAATTCACCTGTGAAGCCTTTCTGGTTCTGGACTTTTGTTTGTTGGGAGTTTTTTGGTTACTGATTGAATTTCATTGCTGGTAATTAGTCTGTTCAAATTTTCTATATCAGTCTGTTTCAATTTTGGTACTAGTTTCTAGGAACTTAAGCATTTCTTCTAGTTTGTCCAGTTTGTTGGCATAGTTTTTCATAATCTCTTATAACTGTATTTTTGCGGTGTTAGTTATTATTTCTCCTCTCTCATTTGTGATTTTTATTTTTGGTTCTTTTTTCTTGTTAAGTCTGGCTAGGGTTTATCTATTTTAATTGATTTTTCCCCCAAGAAAACAGTTCCTGGTTTCATTTATTTGTTCTATTGTGTTTTTAGTTTCTATATCATTTATTTCTGCTCTAATCTTTTTTATTTCCTTTTTTCTGCTGGCTTTAGGCTTTGTTATTATTTTTCTAGCTTCCTTAGGTGTAAGATTAGGTTGTTTGAGATTTTTCTTGTGTCTTGAGGAAGGCCTGTATTGCTATATATTTCCCTCTTAGGACTGCTTTTGCTGTATCCCAAAGGTTTTGAACCATTGTATTTTCATTTTCCTTTGTTTCCATATGCCTTTTTATTTCTTCTTTTATTTCCTGGTTGACCCATTCATTGTTTAGTAGCATATTATTTAATCTCCATATATTTGGGTTCTTTCCAGATTTTTTCTTATGGTTGATTTCTAGTTTCATAGCATTGTGGTCAATAAAGATGCATGGTATAACTTCAGTCTTTTTTAATTTATTGAGGCTTGTTTTGTAGCCTAATACATGATCTATTCTGGAGAATGTTCCACATACACTTGAAAAGAATGTGCATTCTGCTGTTTTAGGATGGAATGTTCTGTATATATCTGTTAAATCCATCTGGCTCAGTGTGTTATTCAAAGCCATTGTTTCCTTGTTGATTTTCTGTTTAGATGATCTGTCCATTGATGTGAGTAGGGTGTTAAAGCCCCCTACTATTATTGTATTAGTATTAATTACTTCCTTTATATTTGTTATTAACTGTTTTGTGTATTTGGGTGCTCCTATGTTGGGTGCATAAATATTTACAATTGTTATATCTTCTTGTTGGATTGTCCCTTTTATTATTATATAGTGTTCTTCTTTGTCTCACATTACAGTTTTTGTTTCAAAGTCTATTTTGTCCAATAAAAGTATTGCTACTCTGGCTTTCTTTTCACTTCCATTTGTATGAAAAATGCTTCTCCATCCCCTCACTTTCAATCTGTCTAGGTCTAAAATGAGTCTCTTGTAAGCAGCAGATAGATTGGTCTTGTTTTTTTAATCCATTCTGATACCCTATGTCTTTTGATTGGAATGTTTAGTCCACTTACATTCAAAGTAATTATTGGTAGAAATGTATTTATGCCACTTTATTGTTTTGTGGTTGTTTCTCAAGATTTTCTCTGATCCTTTCTTGTCTTTCTTTCATGGTTTGCTGGGTTTCTTTAGTGATAGACTTGGAGTCCTTTATTTTTTTACATATCTATAATTGGTTTTGACTTGTGGTCATCATTACGTTTGTATATAACATCTACATATTGCAGTCTTTATGAAGTTGATGGTCATTTAAGTTTGGAACCATTCTCCCCCCTGCCTCCCAAGTTTTAGGTATATGGTATCATTTTATATCCTTTCATTTTTGAGTTCATTGACTGATTTTTTATAGGTATATTCATTTTTACTGCTTTTGTGTTTCTAAACTTCATACTGTCATTTGTAGTCTTTCCTTTGCACTCAAAGATTCCCCTTTAATATTTCTTGCAGGGCTGGTTTAGTTGTCATGAACTCCTTTAGTTTTTGTTTCTCTGGGAACCTCTCACTCTCCTATTCTGAATGATAGCCTTGCTGGATAAAGTATATTTGGCTTCAGGTTTTTCCCATCTAGAACTTAAAATACATCATGCCACCCCTTTGTCTTGGAAAGTTTCTGCTGAAAAATCTGCTGATAGCATTATGGGGTTTCCTTTGTATGTAACTATCATCTTTGACTTGCTGCTTTTTATATTTTTTTATCACTATATTTTGCCATTTTAATTACAGTATGTCTGGTGTAGATATGCTTTTGTTGATTTTGTTGGGAGTTCTTTGCCTCTTGAATCGATATCTGTTTCATTACCCAGATTATGGAAGTTTTCAGCTGTTACTTCTTCAAGTAAATTCTCTACCCAGTTTTCTCTCTCTCCTGGGACTCCTACAATATGAATGATATTACATTTGATAGAGTCACTGAGTTCCATAAGTCTCTTCTCCTGTTGCATAATTCTTTTTCCTCCCTTTTGTTCAGCTTGATTACATTACTCTGTCTTCTAGGTCATTAATTCATTCCTCTGCTTCTTCCAGCCTTTTCTTCATTCCATCAAGCGAAATGTTTCTCATTTATTGACCCCTTTATCTCTTTGTTATTCCTCATCTCATTAAGGATCTCATTGGTGTTCTCCACTCTTTTCTCAATTTCAGCGAGTATCCTTATGATCATCATCATTTTAAATTTCCATCAGGCATGTTACTTATGTATGCTTTGCTTAGATCTCTGGCTGTGGCATTGTCCTGTTCTTTCATTTGGTATAAATTCCTCTGTCTTCTCATTTTGTCTAAGTCTCTGTGCCTACTTCTGTGCGTTAGGAAAGTCAGTTACGTCTCCTGTTCTTAAAGATAATGGCCTTATGAAAAAGAGGTCCTGTAGTTCCTGCAGTGTAGTGTCCCCTGTTTCCCAGGGCCTGGCACTTCTGCGAGTATCTCCAGTGTGTGCTGGGAGAGCTCTTCTGTTGTGTCCTGGCCACTTTATCCTTCAGGCCAGTCATCTGCAGAGGCTCTCTTTGCCTGTTGTGGACAGTGTTTGGTCCCTAGCCTGAATGTGGCACATTTTAACTAGGTGTGCTCTGGTCTGCTTGTGAAATGAGAGCTATTGCTACCGCCATGAAAACTAAGGCCTCACGAAACTCCTGGGTCAGGAGATGCAGTATGAGCAAGGGATTGGGCTGGTCTTCTTGGGGAGGGGGCCTGCTGTGCTGGGACTGAGACAGGCGTGACTGAGACGACCTGTTCCACCAGAGCGAGGGGTGGTGAGACTTGGTATAAGTGAGTTAGGTAGCGAGGGTCACTGCTAGGCTGGTTTCTGCAGGTGCCTCTGTGTTTATGCTGAGCGGCAGGGGAGGGAAATGGCGCCTACCTGTTCCTTTGTTCCTAGAGTGGTCTCTCCATGAATGGTGCCTCTCTGGGACACATTCCAAGATGAGCAACTAGCATTTCCCTACTGTGTGCCCCAGGTGCTCTTCAGATTGCTGTTTCCATGCTGTATGTCCAAGGTCTGTTTGCCCTTCCTTTTCTCCAAGAGCTGCCCCAGTGTCCTCTGTGCTCTAAGCATGCTGACCTTTAAAACTCCAGGCTTTAAGCCCCACTGGTTACAAGAACTCATGAAATTCAGGCTCTCCTGCTTTTCAAGCCAGTTGCTGCAGGGATTTGTTTTTCCTGTGCGCTGTCCTGTGTGCTAGTTTATCTCGTGTCCTTCCCTGCAGCCATGGCTCCCTCCCCACCACCTCGGCTACACGTTGCAGCTCCATCCTTCCTACCTTCTTTGTGGCCTCGCCTCTACTTTTGGTTGTGGAGTTTGATCTGCCAATCATCAGATTGATTTCTGGGGTACTTAGGATGGTTTAATAGTTACCTAGTTGTATTGGTGGGAGGAGGCAAGCCTAGTGTCCTACTCCACCACCATCTTTTCCTCCCAATAACAGCAGTTTTCACAGAACTAGAACAAATATCCTAAAATTTGTATGGAACCACAAAAGACCCCAGTTAGCCAAAGCAGTCTTAAAAAAGAAAAACAAAGCTGGAAGCATCACAATCCCAGATTTAAAGATATATTACAAACTGTAGTAACCAAAACAGTATGGTAATAGTACAAAAATAGATCAGGAATAGAATAGAAAACCCAGAGATAATTAATCTTTGACAAAAGAGGCAAGAATGTGCAGTGGGAAAAAGTCTCTTCAATAAATGGTGCTGGGAAAACCAGACGGCCTTATCCAAAAGAATGAAACTGGACCACTTTCTTACACCATACACAAAAATAAACTTAAAATGGATTAAGGACCTAAATGTGAGACCTGAAACCATAAAAATCCTAGAAGAGAGCACAGGCAGAAACAGACTCTTCACTATAGAGAACAAACAGATGGTTACCAGAGGGGAGGTGGGTGGGGGATGGGGGAAATAGGTGTTGGGGAATAAAGAGCACACTTACTATGAATGAGCACTGAGTAATGTATAGAATTGCTGAATCACTATATTGTATACCTGAAACTAAGATAGCACTGATAAGTATACTGGAATTAAAATAATATTTCCCCCTGATCATTTTTTAAAAGAATTATCTCTTTGATGTAGAGAGAAGTGTGTGATAAAGCAAATTTAGCAGAATGTTATTTGTACAGTCTAAATAATATGTATATAGGTGTTCACTGTGTAATTTTTCAACTTTATGTAGAAAAATTTTCATAATATGTTGGGGAAAAATGTGAAAAATCTCTAATTTTTATATCACTAATATAGTGGCCACAGACTACTCTTCTCACTTAACGGATGCCAGTCTTCAGAATAAATTTCTAATTTCTTGGTGCTCTAAATTAGAGTACTAAGGCTATGTTTTATCTTTATAATTTCAAATTAGCTTAATATGTTTTGGTGACAGTTTAAAAAAGCAACTTTCCCACTTCAGCCAAAGTAATCATGATTAAACTATAAATCTTTTCTAAAAGTCTACCAAATACATGACTTAAGAATACCTTATCTTGTTTTCTTTGTTCCCTGTTGTTCTTCTGATTATCCTGGAAGTCTTGATATGTAGCTTAATTCCAGTTGTGTTGAGATTGAGTTAGAAGTACATATATTTTTAGGCTTCCTTTTTTTAAAAAAAAAAGTCTTTTTTTTTCTTTTAATATGATTTGGTTTAGGCTTAATCCGGAATTAAAACAGTATTAAACCCTGTTTTATGAATGTTGTTCTTTTCCTATAGCTCTGCACCTTTCATGTATGCGTGTGTGCTTGTGTGTACATATGGATAATTTTTTTTTTTTTTTTTTTGCAGTATTTGAAAGCTGTGATAACTCCAGAGTGTCTTCTGATATTAGATTATCGTAATTTAAATTTAGAGCGATGGCTGTTCCGGGAACTCCCTTCACAGTTGGCTGGGGAAGGACAGCTTGTCACCCACCCCTTACCTTTCGAGTTCCGGGCTACAGAAGCCCTCCTACAGTATTGGGTAAGCCTGTTCTTACTTCACTTCTTGAATTTGTTCTTGTTTTAAAGTGCTGTTGAGTAGGAAGACAAGTTGGTATTATTTCAGTGGCACCTTCCCTAACCACACCCCGCCTCCAAACAAAAGCATCTGTGAGAGTCCTGGGCAGAGAAAGTACTTACTTGTGAAGCTGTATGACCCAATCAGATGGATCCGAGGTCTCCAGGTACAGTTTATAGAGTCTCTCTGAGCATCATACTATGACATTCACTCAGTTAAGCACATTTTAAGTTGGCTGTCCTTTGTATAATTTTGATAACTGTATTTTAGGGCTGATAATTCAAAATACTTAACATCCTAAATAGGATATAAGAGAACATATCAAAAAAGTTTTAAATGTATTCCATTTTATTCTGTAACTAAATTGTGTGTTGTAAAACTGCATACACATGATAAACATTACAGCTCAAGTAATTCTAATACTTCACATATCACTCTGATTTGTGTGTACAGTCCTTGGAGACCGCTAGATGATGCCACTGTTTGAGACCTACTTTGACATAGGAACCAGGTGTAATTCTTCTAATGATTCCCCCATTATGTGGATAGTTACTGGGTGTCCAGGGACTCTGTCAGGCCCTGAACAACGGTGGTCACTGCCCTCCTGGCCCCACAAATTGTTCATGATCTTTTCTTCTCCCCAGTAGTCAGGATAGTACTGTTCAGGAACTGGCTGCACGCAACAGTTGGTTCTAGGGCATGCTAACCAGAGTGAGAGAAGGAAGCAGGTAAAGAGGATGAGCAGTGGGTGAGGATTGGATCAACCCAGGACCCTTCCTTTCGTCTGCCCTGCTGTACCGAGGGAGTAGGAAATGGCTACATCCCCCACTCGCTCAGGTTCATGAGGGAGGAGCACCAGCTAGTACCAGCCGAGGAGATGGTGACTAGTTGGGGCACAGTTCCTGAACAGGGAACGTGCCGGGGAGGGAAAGGAGGGAAGGTGCGGTCAGTGGCAGGCTACATGGGCTGAATAAGCTCTGTCGAGCTCGTGCTGAGGTAAGTAGTACATGCTGGCATTTATGCCATTTGTCGTTTCCCCAGTCACTGCTTAATTCTGTTACACTGTTTACCAACTGGTATGGAAGTATTTCAGTATTTTAACAGTGGGTGTAGCTGTATCGGTGCTTTCCTGCTGGATGCCTAAATAATAAGTGTACTTTTGACTTGACACTGATTGATTTCTTTTTTTTTTTTTTTAAGATTTTCTTTCATTCATTCATTTGTCAGAGAGAGAGAGAGCACAAGCAGGGGGAGAAGCAGGCAGAGGGAGAAGCAGGTTCCCCTCTGAGCAAGGAGCCCAATGTGGGGCTCGATCCCAGGACCCTGGGATCATGACCTGAGCTGAAGGCAGATGCTAAACCGACTGAGCCACCCAGGCGCCCTGACACTGCGTGATTTCTTAAAATCCCAAGTTATGTTTTGGTTTTTGGAAGAATTTTTTTCACAGGAATTTTGAACTGTATTCTGTTTACAAAGAACATGGTTATTGTTTACCAAGTGTAAAGTATGTGTTTTAACCATGGAATGGCAGGCTTTATTTTAATCAATCTTGCATTCTTTTCATAATAAATGTTTGTGGGGGAAGACTCTTACAAGAGTTAATTCCCAGTCCACCAAATGCCTGGTAGCATTATGCATGGTTATCTTTTAACCTGGTAGATCTAATTTTTGAATCATTCCAGCCCTGACCATGTTCTGAAACATTACCAGCCTTTCTAGCTATTACAGATTTCTGTGTTTAATCAGAGGATTCACTGACCCTGAGTATTCTAAAAAGATTGTTTTGATTCTTATGAAAGGTCATGTTGTTATCTAGATCAGCACTCTTCAGGGGAAACTTAGCATTTTGCAGCCACTGATCCTTGAGACGTTGGAAGCTTTAGTGGATCCCAAACATTCTTCTGTAGACAAAAGCAAACTGCACATCTTACTACAAAATGGCAAAAGGTAAATATGGGTGATTTACCAATTTGGGAGGTAGACAAAAATATCTGAAGCTTCTCTTTTAGTAGTCCTGATAGAAAATGTGTAACATTAATTCAGATACAAAAAAAAAAAATACCAACTGGTTTTGCTAATGGTAATGGTTTTCTCTCTGTGCCTTCAAAGTAGGAAAGTAGCATAGGTGGCAAGTTGAGCTAAAAAGGGCACACAGACTAATGTTTATTGAAAAGCTGTTTTGCATGAAATGCAGTATTAGGGTCTTTATTTTTGGATGCGAATTGATTCTTAATGTGCATGGTAAATATAAAAAAAAAATTTTACAAGTTGGTGTTTACCATGAATATATAAGTGGGTCTACTTGATAAGATACTTTAGAAAGATACTTTTTTAATAGGGAAATGTGTTTATAAGTTAATGTTATTGATCATTTCTCTACAATTACTCTTCTAGTCTGTCAGAGTTAGAAACAGATATTAAAATTTTCAAAGAATCCATTTTGGAGATCTTGGATGAAGAAGAGTTGCTGGAAGAACTGTGTCTGACAAAGTGGAGTGACCCGCAAGTCTTGTGAGTGTACAATCCTGCTTTGTTACTTACTTTGTTAGGATCAGTCTTCTGTGTTCTGCAGGGTAGTTCTTCTTCGAGAACATAACGTTTTCTCCAGAATAGAAAATATAGGCACTTTTTATCCCCAGTTTCACTATTTTCCCGTATGTATTGCATCTGATTCAGTTTAAAGAGGATATATTGAGTGTTTACTGTGTACATGTCACTGTGCTGGGCTGTGATGAATATAAACCATACCTTTGTCTTCAAGGGACTGACCCCCAAAGTGGCACACACCTCTATCTGAATAACTTAGCCTGGGGAGTACAGTGGAAGAGAGGGAAACATACTCACATGGGTGCAGGGAGAGGGGGGTGAAGGAAAAGTAAGACACTGGCATATATTCTGTAGCTTTGGTCTAATATAAAAATACTTATCTTAGAAACCTTTTATCGCTTACAGAATTAGAAATTACTCTTCTTATGCACACTCAAGTTAAATGTTTACTTTTTAAGTACTCAGAATATTTCATTTTTGTTCTTTGTAGACAAGTATTAGAAATTAATGGAGACACCTCTGTAATGTGTATAGTTTCCCAATCTATACAGATTTTTTTAAGCATTTTGGGACATTAGTTATATTCTAATAAGGAAAAATTAAGATTATAAGTGCTGTTTTCTAGCAGATAAATATAGTAGCGGAAACTTGAACACACTTGTAACTCTTGTTTGTTTTGCGTATCAGGCCAGTCTGCGTCTAATACACTCTATAAGTATCTTTCACAGAGTACTTCAGTCCTACTTACTCTCCTTGGTAGGGGGTGGGAGGCATGAGTAAAGAGGCACAAAATGACTATTGACATCATTTAAGAACATCTTTCTTCATATATGAAAATGACATTATCTACCTTGGAAAACAAAAGCTTTTTATGTTTGTTTTTAGTTTTATTTTGCCTTATTTTCACTAATTTGCACTTATTCATCAGCATTTACACATGTGGATTTTCCTATAACTGGTAGTGCATATGTGCATGAGAATCCCTCGACTTGGGGCCACCGAATACAGTGAACCCATCTAGCCTGTAGACTAGAACCTGCGCCCTCAGCTTACTCTGTATAGTGTTTAGGACCACTTGACAAAGCCACTCACTGATTGGCCTCAATCACCTAACAGAAAAAACAAAGGCCACTTTTTTCATTGGTAGTTGAATATTATATATGGATTTGGAAAATTTTTCGTACCAAATGGATGATGGGTGTATTGGGGGTATGCTAATTACGTTAACTCTTAATTGAAGTGAAAAGAGCAGTGCTGGAATCGACCATGCGGAAGAGATGGAGCTGCTCTTGGAAAACTACTACCGATTAGCTGAGGATCTTTCCAATGCAACCCGGGAACTCAGGGTACTGATTGACGATTCACAAAGTATCATATTCATCAATCTGGACAGGTAAGAAAGTATCCTGTAGAACAATTAAAGGAATTCTGAAGTGATAAAGCTTTTAAGGAACTGTCATTTTGGGAGGAGTTATACCATCATTATCCTCTATAAATGCTACATAGAAAGATGTCCTTTTTTAAGGGAGTAGATTTAATTTCTGTGGTCTTTAATAGATGGTTTCGTGAATTTGCTGTGTATAGTTAGTGGGCCCTTCTGATCTAAGGTGTTCCCCTCTCCAGCCACCGTAATGTGATGATGAGGTTGAACCTACAGTTGACCATGGGAACCTTCTCTCTTTCTCTCTTTGGACTAATGGGAGTTGCTTTTGGAATGAATTTGGAATCTTCCCTTGAAGAGGTGAGACTATTATTTCAATAATCTAGGGATTATTTTTTGTTTTGAAGATCATTTTTTTTTAAATGGATTTTAAGGGGTACCTGGCTGGCTCAGTCAGTGGAGCATGCAGTTCTCGATCTTGGGATTGTGGGTTCGAGCCCCACATGCAGAGTAGAGATTGCTTAAAAATAAAATCTTAAAAAAAAAAACGGATTTTAAAAAAAGAGTCTTAACATGTATATACCCCTAGTGAATTAAAATGTATACTCTGATTCATTCAAAATTCAGGCAGTATTTTTAGACCCTGTTGTAACATAAATATAACTGTAGCCGTGGTTACCTCATGTTTCTCAACAAATGGAACCACACATGGAAAAGGTTTGACAAAACAGTATTACACTGTGAAGCAGTGCTGTGAGGGTGTGGTGACGCAGGATCTCACGATGAGATGGTGATCCTGCAGGATCATGCCCCGAGGGGGCGGTAAGCAGGATCACACAGTGAGGCCATGCTAAGGAAGGATTCCTTTTCTAATTCTCATGTGCCAGGCATTGGTAGTTTGCTTGCTTTATTTGGCAAGATCACAGAAGATGAATGTGCTATCCCTACTTTATAGATGAGAAAATAGGCTCAGGAAATTGGAAGTGATTTGCTATAAAATCACAGTTGGGATCTGAGCCCAAGACTTAACACTCTCCACTTTGCTGCCTTTTCACATTAATATAACACTAAGCTGCCAGAGCTCTTCATATCTTCATAGCCTGGTGTTTTCAGAAAATATCTTACTGGAGGATTTCTGGAAAATAATCTGAATATGCATTCAGCACACTCTGGCTCTGTGTCCTCATTAATCTTTTTTTTTCCTAATTTTATTTTACTTAAATTCAATTAATTAACATACAGTGTATTAGTTTGAGGTAGAGGTCAGATTCATCAGTCTTCTATAACACCCAGTGTTCATTACATCATGTGCCCTCCTTAATGCCCATCACACAGTTACCCCAACCCTTCACCCACCTCCCCTCCAGCAACCCTCAGCTTGTTTCCTACGATTAAGAGTCTCTTATGGTTTGCCTCACTCTGTTTTTATCTTACTTTATTTTTCCTTCCCTTCCCCTACCTGTGCTTCTCTCTTTTGTTTCGTAAATTCCACATAGGAGTGAAATCCTATGTCTTTCTCTGATTGACTTCTCTTGCATAATATCTTCTAGCTCTGTCCACAGCATTGAAAATGGCAAGAATTCATTTTTTTGATGACTGAGTAGTATTCCATTTTACACACACACACCCCCCCCACACACATCTTTATCCATTCATCTATCCATTGTGTCCTCATTCATCTAAAAGGTCTGTCCTCGGTCTCTTTGGCTGCCATCCTAGTTCAGCCCATGTCCTCTCTCTTCAGGACCCCCCTTTCGCTTCTGAAAAGTGGTCTGTAAAAGAAGCAGACCTGGTGGTCACTCTTCTGTAAAACTATTCATTGGTTTTTGAGCCCTTAAAATAAACATCCAGACTACGCGGCCTGCAGGCTCCTGGTGTGTGCGCCCACACCTCCAGGCTGAAGCTGGCCGCCTCGCCCTCACTGTGGGCGTTGGATCAGTATTTCCTCACAGGCCTGCTGCCTCCTGGCCCCAGCTCTCCTCGGCTCCCACCTCCCCTGCCTGGCCAGCTTCTGCTTACCTCTCACGTCCCAGCTTATGGGCCGCTTCCGAGGACAGTCTTCACTGAGGCACAGTCAGTGTTGGTCATTTTCATGCTCTTGATGTGAAAGAAAAATAGATGCCGTACGTTCGTTCATTCATCTTATAAACACACGTTTTGGGGCCTGCTATGGACTACGCACTGCTTTCAGCCCTGGGGAAGCAGCAGTGAGGGGCTGCCCCTGCGGAGGTTACGTGATCCTAGAGGAGAGAGCAAATAGACGTACAGTACGTTAGGAGGTAAGTGCCGTAACGAAAAAGCCAGGGGAAGAGATAGAGAATGTTCCCAGGAGGTGAGATAAGGAGCATCTCAGGTATAGGGTGGTTAAGAATGTCTTTCTGAGGAGATGACACTAGAAAGTGGGAAGGTCTGGAGGAAAAGTGTTCTAAGCAGCGGGGTCCACACACGTAGTTTTTGGAGCAGTTAATGGGCTGCGCTTGTCAAGCTCCTGACAAGGTCAGAGGGCAGACAAGTGGGAGATGGTGTTGAATTTGTAGAGCCCAGTGAGGGTTTGGATTTATTTTAAGTGTGTTAGGCATCTGTTGGGAGGCTTTTAAGCCCAAATGCAAGTTATTAAAAAGTTCAGAAGTAACCAAAGAACCTGGTGCAACATAGCCCAACCCTTGAAATTCTCAGAAGATAACTTCTAAAGACCTTTGCAGATTCCCCAGCGTGTGGCTACAGAACTCTTTAAAAGTTCCTGTCATTCTTTCAGATCATTTTTGTTAAGAATTGTGTTTCTGTACATACACTCTACAAGCTAACTTTTATACTTTTTTTTCATTTTATATTTAAATATTTTCTCTCACTTAATGCCTATTTAAAAAAAAAAAAAAAGGATTTTTAAATGTTCCTCTCTGATAGTTCCAGAATATGCAGTCCCAGGTGTAGGGCAACCCAGTTATAATGAGAGGTGAGTGGTTCATGTTCAGCTACTTGCTCAGTACAGGGTGATTGGCTCCCACCGAACAAGATTTGGATCAGTGCAAGGTCTCTGCTTCTGTGTAGACAGGGTTGGTATTGACAATGGTAAGTCTAAGATAGGAAAAACTTTTTTTACTTTTTATTTTAAGATAATTTCAGACACTTCTAAGAATAGTCAAGGAATTGCCATGGAGCTGTCACCCAGATTCTTTTATCACTGACATTGTATCACATTCCCTGTCTCATTCTATCTTTATGTACAGCCTTTTTTTCCTAAAACCACTTGAGAGTAAGCAACAGATGTGATGCCCCGTTACCTCTAAGTATTTCAGTATATGCTTCCTAAAAACATGGCCATTCTCCTCCAGAACCACAGTGCAGATGTGCAAATCAGGAAGTGGACATTGAAACAGTGCTGGTTTACAGTCTGAGGGCCCTCTACAGATTTTGGCGTTTGTCTTGGTGCTGCTCTTTACCTCAGAGAAGATCTTGAATCACGTGGTGTGCATCGTTGTCCTCTTTTCATCTAGACCAGTGTTTCAGTCTTTGTCTTTCATGGCCATGCCATTCACAAAGCGTACAGATTTGTAATTTGTCCCTTCATACCCTGTCGTCATTAATAGATTCTTCCTGTGCACTGTGTCAGTGTGCTCTCATGTTGAGGGTCCCCTCAGGAGGCACATGGTGTTTGTCCCATCACAGGTGGTAGGAACTTTGACCGTTTGGTTAGGGTGGTGTCTGCCAACTTAATCTCCTGTAAAGCTACTCTTTTTCTCTGTGGAACGAAGTTTCTTGTAGGGAGATACTTTGAGACTATTTGTAAAAGTCCTGTTATTCATCAAATTTTCACCCTCTAGTTTTCACAGGCATCAGTTGATCCAAAATTAATTCATGACTGAATCAGATATTACTGTCATGGTTACCAAATGGTAATTTTTTTTCTTTTTTGTTAGGTTTTTATTTTAATTCCAGTTAACATACAGTGTAATATTAGTTTCAGGTGTACAATGTAGTGATTCAGCACTTCTGTACATCCCCTGGTGCTCATCACAAGTGCCCTCCTTCATCCCCATCACCTATTTCCCCCATCCCTCCCACCTGCCTCCCCTCTGGTAACCATCAGCATGCTCTCTGTAGTTAAGAGTCTGTTTCTTGGTTTGTCTCTCTTTTTCCCTTTGCTCATTTGTTTTGTTTCTTAAATCATCTGGTATTTGTCTTTCTCTGGCTTATTTTGCTTAGCATTATACTCCAGTGGCATCCATGTCTTTGCAGATGGCAAGATTTCATTCTTTTTTAAGGCTGAATAATACCCTGTTGCGCATATATATATACACATACCACTTCTTTATCCATTTATCAGTCCTTGGATATTCAGGCTGCTTCCATATCTTGGCTATTTTAAATAATGCTGCTATAAATATAAACACAGGGGTGCCTGTATCTCTCTGAATTACTGTGTTTGTATTCTTTGGGTAGATACCTGGTAGTGTGATTGCTGGATCATAAGGTAGATCTATTTTTACCTTTTTGAGGAACCTCCATACTATTCTACACAGTGGCTGCTCCAGTTTGCATTCCCACCAACAGTGCAAGAGGGATCCTTTTTCTCCACGTTCTTGCCAACACTGGTTGTTTCTTCTGTTCGTTTTAGCTATTTTGATAATTTTGTTTTGCATTTCCCTGATGATAGGTGATGATGAGCGTCTTTTCATGAATTTGTTGGCCATCTGGATGTCTTCGTTGGAGAAATGTCTATTCATGTCTTCTCAGTTTTGAATTGGATTATTTGGGTTTGGGTGTTGAGTTATATTAGTTCATATATTTTGAATACTAGCCCTTTTATCAGATATATCATTTGCAAATATCTTCTCCCACTCCATAGGCTTGTCTTTTAGTTTTGTTGTTTCCTTTGCTGTGCAGAAGCTTTTTATTTTGATGTAGTTCCAATAGTTCATTTTTGCTTTTATTTCCCTGCCTCAGGAGACACATCTAGAAAGAAGCTGCTATGGCTAATGTCAAAGCAGTTACTGCCTGTGTTCTCTTCTAGGATTTTTGTGGTTTCAGGTCTCACACTTCGGTCTTTGATCTATTTTTAATTTATTTCTGTGTATGGTGTAAGAAAGTGATCCAGTTTTATTCTTTTGTATATTGCTGTCCAGTTGTCCCAAACCATTCGTTGAGGAGACTGTATTTTTCCCATTGGATATTCTTGCCTCCTTTGTTGAAGATTAGCTGACCATATAATTAATTGTGGGTTTATTTCTGGGTTTTCTATTGTGTTCCATTGATCTGTGTTTGTTTTTGTGCCAGTACCATACTGTCTTGGTGATGATTATAGCCATGTAATATAGCTTGAAGTCCAGAATTGTCATTCCTCCAGGTTTGGTTTTCTTTTT